GCACAGAATTATTTTGATAACTTTTCCTAGGTTGTCTATCATGCACATTTTCATTCCTAGGTTTTTGTCTAGGTTGTCTAGTGTCCCTAGGTTGACTAGATTTTCTATTATCCTGATTTTTAACTTTCTTATGTTGAGCCTTAGGAGGTTTTCTAGATGTTTGCTCAACGTTTTTATCCTTAGATTCATTTTTATCAAAACCTATTCCTTCCTTAGAAAAGTGCATGGTGTCTAGAAGTAAATTAAGATCTTTGTGTGGTGTATTAAACTTCTTAACCGTACTCTCAAGTTTTGCAACTTTTTCTTTTAAAGTCTTGCAAGATTCACATTCACTTGAAGAACTTTCTGGTTTGTCAGCACTTCTCTTACCATAAAATTTATTTTCTTGTTTCAACCTTTCATTATCTTTTTCCAATTTGTCAAAATCACTTTTAAGAGTTGAAAGACGTTTCTTTAAAGATTTATTGGTTTTAGAAGCGCTAACAAATTCATCATAAAGCTCATGAAGTGCTTCTTGCATTTCTTCAAAAGTATAAGAGTCGGAAGAATTGGTACATACCTCTTGAACGTCGTCAGTTTGATCTTCGTGCGCCATGAGGCAGAGGTTGGCGGCTTCCTCCTCTTTTTGATCCGTTGACTCATCCCCGGAGTCGCCTCCCCAAGAGATGTAGGCGCGTTGCTTTTTGAAGCCAGGTTTGTCCTTGCCGCCTTTGCTTTTTGGACACCTCGGCTAGATGTGGCCTATCTCACCACAACCATAGCACTTCGGGGGCCCGTCGTGCTTTCTTCCTTTCCTTTCAAATTCTTTCTTCATGAATTTGTGGAACTTCTTGATAACGAGTCCGAACTCGTTGTCATCATCGCTTGAGTCATCTTCCACGGACTCCTTGGTTGCTTTCAGCGCTATACCCTTCTTCTTTTATTCATCCAAAGACGGTGTTAGAATAGTAGATTCATAGGTTTTGAGATTACCTCTAAGCCCGTCGATGGTGACATTCGAGACTCTGATGGATTCATAGATTGCGTCTGCCTTTGATCTCCATTCGGGTGTGAGACTTCGCAGGATTTTTCTTACAAGATCCTTGTTGGTGTAAGTCTTCTTGAGTGCATGAAGGTCGTTGATGATTTTTGAGAACCGATCGAACATATCATCGATCTTTTCGCCTTCCTTCATCCTGAACATCTCGTACTCCTGCGTTAGGAAGTCAATTTTGGCTTCCCGAACTTGGTCCGTACCTTCATATGTGACCTCCAGTTTGTCCCACAATTCTTTTGCAGTGGTTCAGCAAGAAATCTTGCGATAATCATCAGGATTGACGGCACAGTACAGCATATTGGAATTTGTTCATTGGGACCGTGGTTTCTCCTACTTTCTTCATTGGAATTTGTTCTCCATTTTTGATGACCAACCATAATTGGAAGTTGGTGGAACGGATGTAGATTCTCATTCGTTCCTTCCGGTAGGAATAGTTGGTGCCATCAAAGAGTGGTGGCCTAGACGTAGACTGACCTTCTCCAATTCCTGCATAGAGATTTCTAGAAGAAGAACCCATGATCGCTTACCCTCAAACGGTTAAGTTTGGACGCGAGTTAGGCTCTGATACCAATTGTTAGAATAATAGACCAACGCTAGAGGGGGGGTGAATAGCGTTTGATCGGAGAAATCGCAGGAATTAAAAAATTAAAATGGAAGTAAAGGGAAGAGAAAAAGGCACACCGAATTTTACCCTGGTTCACCACAACTTGTGGCTAATCCAGCCTCCCGAGAGACTCTCTCGAGCTACACTA